AAAGACCTCGAAAGTGATTTCACTACAGAAAAATCACCGGGTGTTTTTTTCACCATGGCACTTGACACTGGTAGAAATCTATATATACCATAATATACCCTCTGGTAATTTAACATAGCTATTGAAAATGGCCCATTTAGTTCGTTGATTTACCTAAAGATGGTGATTTTCCAGCGACTATGTAAACGTTTACCAGGGGGTACCCTACAATAAACATACGAAAAGCCATGGAAATCCATGGGTGTCCTGCGCCCAAGGCCGAGGCTCCATTTGTGACAAGTCCGGCCCAAAATCTCTTCTCGGCCCAGATACCTCAGATGGAAAGCCAAGAACTTCCAAGGCGCCTGAGTTCAGTCAAATGGGGGTTGATCCATATACACCTCCACAAACAACCCGTGTATGAAAATACATTCATATATATATATATATACAAATATTGTAATATGACTTGAAACACCATGATTGGAACTGATACAAAGTACTGACATATGGCTTGCCAGCAGTTGACTTGAAAATGTGAACTGGCCATTTTCACGGATATTTGACACAAACATATATATATATATACATAATGGTATGTATACATATATATATACATATATATATATATATTTCAATGTATATGTGTATATAATTGCCTCAGGAAGTGGTCCAAGTCACTGCAGATTTCCGGTGGCATTGTTCACCCACTGTGGGCCCACAGGACCTGAAGATCTACAGGAGATTTCTGTGGAGATAATTGGCATAGAACATGGGTGAGATCCAGATATGCAGATAGAAAAATCATGAAAAACCCAGAAAAAATCATGAAACACCCAGATATCCAGAAGATAAACTATTCACAAATCTGGATATTTCTACATGAGATATCCAGGAATATTCAGATTTATGAAAAATATTCCATGTATTGGGAATGAACATGTGGTTCAACCGAGATTGGCAAAATCATTTTCAGTATGGAAACCCATGATGGTGGAAAATAATGGAGGAAATATCCCAGTATACATTACCAACCCAATATTTCCTCCATATATGAAGGATATTTATCCCAATATACTATGAATATACTTAGATCCTCCAATATTTCCTCCAAATATCCCAGTATTTCAACCAACCCAATCTATGAGTCTATGAAATATCCCAGTATATTTATCAGATGGGTTGAACCCAATCTGAAATATCCTGAAAAAACCTGGATTCTACTTGGGATGTTGACCTTAGCAATCATAGCAACCAAATGTACAGCATGGATACAATGGGAGGATCTAGCTATGGGAACCCCACCAATAGACCTATTGAAAACCAATGATTGTATACATGAAAAATCATTACATAGTCGATTCAGATTGCGATCACCTAATTATCAGGTGCAACCATCATTCTGAAATATATCCGACAGTCTAAATCCTGGCTTGCTTGCACCCTTTCTTACATGAAACAGGTGTCTGTTGCCAATACACAAATACTGGCTCTTGTAGAAGCTTTGTGCCAATATTTCCTGAAAAACCTTTTATCTGAACCGAACCACAAAGACCCATGTCATTGTGTCTGGGTTAGTTGCAAGACATCGACTTTCATCATGAGCTTTCTTGGCCAGGCGGCTGATGTTTGGACCAATATGGACCTGTGGTAAATCCGATCACCTGGAAAAATCAGGGATGATTCATAGAATTTCCATTTGTTATGAATGGTATATAAATGAACCATAGAATCCATTTCTAGAGTTTGGGATGGTTATAATGTCCCATTGTTGGTTATCTATCCCATTATTCCAGCCCATTCTTCCATCAATTGTTGCTGTTAGCCTCCACAGTCGTAGCTACCAGCCGTGTAGGTGCAACATTTGCAGCAATCCTTGACGTTGGGAAAGTAGAGATAGCGGAAACCACCCACTGTCCTCAGTTTGGTGCTTTGGAGCAAACCAGCACATGTCTGAAGTTCACTTTGTTCATGTTTAGATTTCAGTTTTGCCGCCACCTTGTACTTCCAAATTGTTACACGTGGTGAAATCAGACTAAGTGTGTATGTATATAATATATAAATATATATATATAATATAATATATACAATATATAATATATAATAAACAATATGAAATATATAATAAATAATAGAATATAATATATATATATATAATTAATATACAAAATATAATATATAATATACAATAATTAACATATAATATATAATAATTTATATATAATATATACTATATAATAAATAATAAATTATAATAAAAACAATAATATAAAATCATATATAATATATAATGTTTAAAAAATATATGATATATCATATAAATAAAGAATATATAATATATAATATAAAATATATAATACATAAAATATATAATATATAAAATATATCAAATATAATATATAATCATCTATAATAAAATATAAAAAAATAATAATAAATAATATGTAACAATGTATAATAATATAAAATGATATAAAATAATATAAAATAATATAAAATAATACAAAATAACATATAATAATCTATAATAATATATAATATAATATATGTATATATAATAATAATATAAATACTATATAATAATATATAATAACGTATAAAAATATAATACTATAAAAAAACAATATATATATATACATAATCAAATATAAACATATATAATAATATAAAAATATATAATAAGACATAATAATACATAATAATAAATAATAATATATTATAATATATTATAATATATAAAAATACATGACAATGTATAATAATATATGGTAATATAAAATATCTCATGATGAATTGCAATTTGCCAATACAGTTGACTAAACAATGGCCTGCCATGGCCTGCCACCATTTTTCAGCCGGTCAAGAGGGATCCTCCGCGCAACTTCGCCAGGCATCAGTTGTTCACACCTCGTCGACGTGTGAAAGGCAGAGCAAAGATGATCTGCACGCGTGAAACGACACGTTTTTAGCAGCGGGTCATTGGCTTATGATCAGCTGGAGCTGAGGAACTGAGGAACTGATGAACTGGGAAAAACTGGGATGGGAATATCATATTCATGACTGGCTTCTGAGCCTGACTGCTCAGTAAAATCATTGGGGATAGTGCGTGACCCAACGTTCAAACCTTCAAGGATCGTCTTTGTAGGGGATTCACATCATTCACTTTAAGCCAATGGTGAAAGCATCTGAAAGTTTTGGAAGGCATGGTCAAGCAGTCAAGCCTACAATTTTCTAGGAGTATCTTCCACATATTTGTTTCCACGAAATAAAACTGTAATATTCCCTTTGATCACTTTCATCACTAATGACTAGGGATTTCATCATCTATATAGAGCTGGTTGGTGGTTTCAACCCCTCTGAAAAATATTAGTCAGTTGGGATGATGATTCCCAATATATGGAAAAACAATCCATTCATGTTCCAGTCACCACCAACCAGAAGAGTCTTTTCATTAGGATTGTAACCCTCTGATGATCAGGGCTTCACTGCTTCACCACTCCAGAAAGGGCCGTGTTGTCGCCTCCACTTCCGTCTCCAAGAACAATGCCTCGTCCACTTCTCCAAGCCATGGAGCTGATGTGCCAAAGGTACCAAGCAGACATGGAAAGTTACCTGCATTAAACATCATTAAACCACACACAACTGACTGGGCTTGTCCAACTTCTACCAACTAGCCAGCAATCATCAGCAATCTGCCACCGCCCATGCCGCCAAGCTACGCGACGCCGCAACATCTTTGCTGGAGTCAGTTGCGTAGAGACCTCACTTTGGTATTGTCTGAACATGCATCCTCAATTCTGATTATCAATCATCATGCTCCCTTTTAAAGGGACTGTAATTGGCGGGGGTATGGTATACCCTATTTTCAGACATCCATATATGATGTAGATATTATGTGTCCCTGTCAAAATCCAGCGATACTGGCTAAGTGAATGTTGATAAGTACTGTCTTGGACTTCAGAGTAACTCATGAGAATGTAGCAAACCTAATAGACCCTTTTATTGTTCAATGTTTTTTAACAACCTTCAGAAGGGAACTTAACATACGGGTAAATTGAGTATGATGGTTTCCTCTTGCGTTTGCCCCACCTAAATTCTGGGACACTCTAAGGGCTTGTCACTGGCGATCACCGGCATTTTTAGGCCATCTTGGTGGTGGCGAAATTTGACCAATACCATGGAATTAATGGGTTATGGTCATCCCGACACTATTTGGAATCCTCACCATTTACAAATCCCTGTTTATATGATTTTATATGTATTTATGGATTCATGACCATGCCCACAACCGGTGTAGAATCCTACTTGTTGACCTGTACCCAAATATTGGCAGCAAAAAATGTCAGTCACAGGCATGGACGACAAGTACGTGCACGCACTGATCAAATCTTGATACGACATGCTCTTGTTTTGAGATACATGATACCCGATTTATCCCTTATGCAGCCAGGCTAAACCCCTTTTTGTTGGTCATATCATATCTGAATACACGAGTTGGTATGCTTTATCACATCATGATTGGAGGACGCCAGAATTGTTTATTCATGTTTATTCCATGGCAGTTCTTGATTCATTGTTGCTGCTTACTGTTTGCTATTCATCGCTGGCAATTGCTTTTCGTCGTTTGTGACTTAATTATTTCTTATAGATTGTTTGACTTGGACATGTGTGTCGCATGTTGTCCTTAGCTACTTAGCCTGTTTTCTTTTGAAAGGTTCGTGGCCCTTTTTCAAGATTACAGTGCCACCAGCTGCCCGCTGCCACCAAGACTCCCGTGGTGTGTTTGTAGTCCTCAGTTTCTCAGAAACTTGGTGGTTTTGAACCACACATGACCATGTAGTTAGATGTACTGTATTTTTTAATGATGTTGACTGTAGTTGTTCATGATATTTAGTGAAATTATCTCTATAAATTAATATTTATGATAATCTAGTTTAAAATAGAGTTCCATGAATTTTAAACTATTTTCTTCAGTAGGAAAACAACCACCCTTTTTGTGTTCAGGATTTTGTGTACTGCATCACTAGCCATTGAGATCTCCATGTTCCCAAGGGCCAACAACGAACGGGAACATTTTTTCTGATTTGTTTACCCATGCCACATTTGTGTTGCTGCTATATTTGCTGCTATATTTTCTGGTTGTTACACTGTTACAAGTAGGAATGGTGTGTTTCAGAAATACTTGTTGACATGCCAATTTCCAATACCATGGGGAAACACCACCTGACTGGTTTCATCGTATCAACCATTTAAACCAAACGCTCGAAGCTAGTGCATCATGCAGCCCACATCCCTTGTTGTTTTTGATCATCTCAAACATCCGTAAATACAATGGGATGGGTGGGTTTAATCCATCATGCAGCCCTTCCCATTGACTATGTATATATATATATATATACTGGTTGGTGGGTTTAACCATCTTGAAAAAATAGTCAATGGGAAGGATGCCATCCCATATATTGTGGGAAATATAAGATGTTCAAAACCACCAACCAGTATATATATATATAACATCACTTATACCCAAAGAAACAGACCCGTCATACGTTTGATTATTGTATATAGACCTCCTTGGCCCGACATGAATCGCTATAGTTGATTGTTATATCCTCATTTTCCAAACAATATGGCAATACTCAAAAAATACGTTGAAAGCAAACATGGTAAGAACCAAACACTATGGAACAAAAAAACATGTAGTAAGTCTAAATTTTGTCTTTCCATCATATGTTGACATGGTTAGATGATGTAATTCCCAAGAATTTCCTACACTTACTTGTTAAATTCCCATTTTCCAGGCTTAAACTTCCATCTTTGATGCCTCAACCCCCACGACATCGCCCCGGTCACCAAGCGGCAGAAGCGTACCACGCTTCAAACGCCGCGGGCCATGTGGCTTGCGGCACGGCCAAGGCGGCAGCCGGCAGCCACCTGCCCAAAAACTCCCCAATATACTGAGGATATAATTAATATGTTATAGGTTATATATATATAGGTTTATAGAATTTTGAATCTCTATATCCATAGATTGTATAGGCTATATATATATATATATAGGTTATTTATGTATAAAGATGCTCTGAAAATGGCTATATAGGGAAACAATAGTGGCTATGATGAGAATTGCTTGAAGATTGAGTTGTTCGGGGATATATCCAACATTTCCCTCAACAATTTGCTGGTGTAATGGAATCTAATGGTATGTTCATGCGACAAAACCAATAGTCACATGAGGTGTTTGTTCAACAGAAATGGGAATATGATAGTACCTCATGTTTACAAACCACAATGGAAACGTACTGGGAGATGCAATGGGGATATAGCTAACAAAAATATGGGGTTCTTCAACAAACCCAGCATGCTTAAGTGGTGAAAAAGACGTGGTGCTATTGCAAAAAAAAACGGCGATTACCATCTGGTTATGACTAACATAGCCATGGAAAGATCCACCCATTTTTAAGTTCGGTAAACCATCTATTTCGATTAGGGCCATCTATACCATGGCTAACAAATAACTAGAGGGTATAATAGTGAGGATATGATTTTTCGCAAGGTTTTAATCACGAACAGCGGGGATTCGATTGCACAATGGGGCTGCAGGAAAACAAGGTCCGAATCAGCAAAGTTATGAATGGGAGAGTGAAACCAAGCATTTCGTTCTGGCGAATTTTATGGAATGGGAAAAAAAAACATATTCCTCGATTTGCTATTTATATTATATAATAAACTATATGAATCTAAAGAAATAACTGATTGAATTTTCGCCAGGGTCAATCCCCTATTTGTAAAATCTATTGAATCTACTGGGATCAATTGTTATGACCTCAAGCTGCGAAAAAAAATGGTGAACTCCTCATCATATGGTCATGCCCTGACCAATGTTGTACAGCAATAAGTAGTACCCGGTAAACTAACCGCCATTGAAAATTACCATAGACAGTTCGTTGATTTACCCATTAAAAATTGTGATTTTCCATATAAATCACCATTTTCCCATGGTTTTCCCATGGTTTTTCCTATTAAAAATGGTGATTTTCCATAGTTGATGGTGTAACAGTTTACGGTGAGCCGTCACGACTGAGCCGAGCCGCAGTCCCAAGCACTGAGCCGTTGGGCACTTCATCGGCGGAACCGTCGCGAATTGAAAAAGGTGAGCTTTGGGAAGTTGGGAACTGCGAATTCACCACTTTTAGGGATGATGTTTACATACATCATATGTATATATAATATATAATGTGCATATATATATATAATTATGCATATGTATATACACATGTATATATATATATATATATATGTATGTATGTATGTCTGTATGTATGTATGTATGTATGTATGTGTATGTATGTGTATGTATGTGTATGTACGTGTATGTACGTGTATGTATGTGTATGTATGTGTATGTATGTGTATGTCTGTGTATGTCTATGTATGTCTATGTATATGTATATGTATACGTATATGTATGTCTATGTATGTCTATGTATGTGTATGTATGTGTATGTATGTGTATGTATGTGTATGTATATGTATACGTATACGTATATGTATATGTATATGTATACGTATACGTATATGTATATGTATATGTATACGTATACGTATATGTATATGTATATGTATACGTATACGTATACGTATAGGTATATGTATATGTATATGTATGGTATAGTATAGTATAGTCTAGTATATATAGTATATATATAATATATATTGTTATATATAATAGTGTGTATTGAAGCCTTACGCATTGACCTCATGGACTGGAGGCTCGTACACTTGCTGACATCTTCGTTGCTCGAGCTGCAGGGCACTTTTTGTAAGTTGGATAGCAAGGTGTATGTAAAGTATATCATTGGCCATATCAGGGACTTAAATTCGAGCTAACTACATAAAGCCTCTGTAATGGCAATGTAAGATGATATGCCCCTAAAATATGTCTTTATCTGGTCTACAGTAATGTGCAATACCTCTTTTTTAGAATCCTGAAATTCCCACTGGATATACCTAGCTCCAGGTATTTCTGTATGTAAGCAATATGTGTCCTCCCACGAGTGTTAGAGTGTTTGACACCAGCTTTTCATATACCTTTGGAGTTTTGGTGCGTTGTTTTCTCATGTTTATGCGTACTTTGAGAGTATCTGTGGGCCCACTTCTAGGGCAGAAATAGATCCACAACCGTTGTAGCCAGTACGACCAAATTTTGGTAAACAATGGTAAACATATGTGAACATGATGATAGTCCTTTGGAATTTGGGGTGCGCTAATTTCAGGCAAACACAACTGGTTTTGATAGCATGGCAACAGAACCTCATCGACTGGTCAATCTTAGACACCGCTGGTAGATTTGTAGCGATGATGTATTGCCACGGGCATTTTATTTCCGACAAACAAATACGATTAAGAACCTTTAAACAACATAAATTGAGAGTAATAACCTATTTGACGTTGTTACGTGGATTCAACTGCGTATTTCCCCAGTAGCAAACAGTCTACCAAGGTTTACTACCAGATTTGGACGTAGCCTCATGAGGATGATTGTGTGCTCAAGACTATCAGCATTGAATGGATAAAGGGAGTGTTCTAAATGTGTTTTTTTGTTGGAAAAAAACGATCATAATCTCAATCTATGCAACAACTATTATGTACGTTTGAAAAACATTGTCTTTCTGCAAGAAGCCACCTGGGTCTTGCCACCCAAATAATCTTTCGAACCCCTGCCCACCCAGTGAGCCCATGCCCATTTTCTGCAAAAGAATCGATGTCACATCCTTTGCCCCTCTTAGGGAGGAAGACTCTATTGCAGTTTTGTCAAAATTTTAAACATACCTTCCTCATGTAAGGCTGGAAATGACTTTATATATATAGACACACACATGTGAGCAGTGTTCAAAATCCTTTGTCATCCCCTTGTACTCTTTGTGGCTGATAAGGAATCCCATCATGGATGATGACAGTCCCCAAAAATATCATGAGGTATAATTATAACATGGTATTAGCATCAACCAGCAGGGATTTTTGAACGGTTTTCAACACTGCTCAAGTGGTCTGGGAAGGCCATGAGAATCCCAGGGTAGGGAAAGGCCAGCTAAAGGTTGCAGTTCATCGAACCAAGTGGCATGACAGTCATATTTGGCAAAGAAGATCCGTCCGATCCTTAACTGGTTAACTGCACAGTTTTTGAATAGTAGCAAATTGATCAAAAACCCTCTTTTTGTTCATGTTCCGTGCTAGATTTCAAGGGGGTTACTCAGTGACTCTTGCTGGATTTCAAACGCTAGTATGATGTAAAAATCAATAACTATTGGATTGTTTTTTTGTTGGATTTTTTTTTTTGCGGCAATGTTGACATCAACTAGGATTCCACGCGTTTCCATCATCTGGCTGAACGCCAGCCAGTGAAGAAGTTGCCATCAGGAACCCAGAAAAAAATCACCAGCCTTTACCATCCTTTACCATATTTTGCTTGTTAAATCACCATTCATTGATGTTTAAATTTTCCTTACATTCTTGTATATGTTATATGTTTGTTCAATAAGTTGCATTTTGTGGCGGGTTAAATCACCTATTTTTCGATACTTCAACCATATTAAAATATATTAAACCATGTGAAATCACCATGTCTCTTTGGAAAATGCTCCAAGTCTCCAGGATTCATCCCGGCACTGCACGAAGCGCAACACGAAGGCTTTCTCGCCGTTGACCTCTTCCAAACCCAAAATCTCCACCTTCCCAGGTGTACAACTCATGCTGGGACCCCTCACGGTGCGACATAAGCCACTGGTAGATCTTATGGCATCAGCAAAAATGTCCTGGTGACGGCAAGGCATGGCATCTTTGGTGATTGTTATGGCTTTGTGAATGTTCCTCAGCTATCCCAAGAAAAATGGCCAGACATTGCGGAAACTGCTATTTTGGGGTTCCATCTCAATTTCGGGTATGAAACTGGAGGTCATAATACAGACTACTATCCCAAACAATCCATGTTGGTAATATTTGCATACATTCCAATGTTGGCCTGAGAAGCCAACATTGGAATGTTGGCTCCTGGAGGCTACATTCATAAAATTAGGTCCTACTTTTGTCGGAATCTAGTGATTTTGCCGGAGTTTATCGGAAAGGAGAAGTTTATCCAGTTGCGGGCAAAATTATGTTGCCAAAAAGTGGTGGGTCAGTCTTGACCGACGTCCTAAGGAATAAAATATCAAAGTTGAGCATTTTTTATATAGTTCCATAATGTTCTATATACGACAATTCACGAGACTACATCTGGATATTGCAGGCGCGACAATTCACAAGACGGCTACATCTGGATATTGCAGGCCTGCACCAATCTTGAACCAATCGAAGATTATATTCACAAGTTTCAGCGACAATCACCCAAACAAAGTCCAGAAAACAGTATACAATTGAGAGCTTGAAGGAAAGCCAAATAAATAGACCGGAACCTGCAAGACTAAACCCATAATAAATCATGAGCTATAGCATGAGTTATCAAAGATAAAGCAGGCATCATTGCATCTCAAATTTATTTGCCTCTGCTCATGTTTGTTCTTCAACTGATTTTAAGTCCATCGCAGGAACAACAAATTGCTGTAGAGTATTGAACAAACACCTTTATTTCACCTACCCGAGGGGGCCACTATGATGTTCAAAAGATGGAACAACACAGCATACAGTGGAACACACACAGACACACTCACACATGCACAACAAAAAACAACAGGATGTAATTACCGTCATACTGGGTCAGGGAGGGATGTTTACAGTAAGATAGATAAGAACACACATGTTTTCGCAGATGCATTTTTTTGCTGGCTCTAGATTCTGACCTCCAACCCAAACAAATAGGACACTGCTGGAACAACATACAACCAAACAGGATAAACATGACAAATATGCAGCATGTGCATGTGCGCGTCAGCTTTTGGTGGCAACGTGTCACTGATGGCCCAACATAACATTCCATAACAAGCTTACAGAAATTTAACATGCTAATCTGTTGTCCAGATGCTTGCATTTTTGTTTCTCAAATCTGTGTCAAACATTCTGGAGTTTGTTTGGACAATTGTTTTTTTTTGGGGGGGTGCATCGTTTGGCTAAATAATTAAATATAAAAAAGCAAAGCCAAACAATTGAACATGATAAATTGTGTGGGAGCAAAAAGCAAGAAGGCAAGCGCCAAGACAAAATATGATCGGCACTCAAGACGAAAATTCATACGGCAACAAAATCAGTTCCAGTCACGAAATGCAACTCCGCGCTGAAAACTAAAAAGTACTCCTGCACTCTTGCAGTACTGGAACTTTTTGCACTCCCGCAAGCGCTTAGGTGCTTAGCCGCCGACTTTCTGCAATTCAATTTTGACGTTCCTACATAGTCTGATGTATGGTGGAAAGAGAAATTAGTTAATGCAAATGCATGCTTCTGCCCTTGCTGGATCCTTCAAACTTTTTTTGAATGGTCAACCCACGGGGCAAGAACACTGAAAGTGTGCTCTTTTCGGTGACAGTGAAAAAATACAAACATGTTGAACATTGTGTCTCTTTAGTGTGGCATTGGTCAATGTGTTCGGGAAAATTTGGGCAGCCCGCTGCCCCAAGTGAGCGTGACGAGACCGTGACGGGAGCGTGACGGACCATGCCGAATGTATGCAAAATTAGTAGGAAAATACCAAATTTTTGTCGGACCAGCGTGACGAGAGCGTGACGGGAGCGTGACGGGAGTGTGACCAAACACCGGGAGCTTTGCTGAAACACTGGTGGCAAATCTACAGTTTTATTTCCATATCTTCAGGCCCAAACCTTTTCACATGTTGACTGGAATATCCCCTTCCAGACCCTTTTTCTGATATTTTCTGACAAAAGTGGCATAACATAAACCTGACACTTCCTGAAAAAGAAAAATATCAGCATAAAATTGGGAGGGGATGAGATGAGGCCCGGTCAGTATTGTAGTCCGGGGATGCCTCGGCACTATCAAAATTAATTGCTGCAGTGTTTTCTTCCTGAGACCCGCTCCGAAATGAAGAGTGTCTTCAACTGGCGCTTATTTGTGGTTACTTTCCTGCATATTGAGGGTTTTATCTACTGTACAGCATCTCTAGTTGAGGAGTTACAGTTACAGGTATTGAATTCGCAAAAATTAGAACAGGTTTGCTTTCGGTCAGAACTGACCACTAAAGCACTTTGACCTTTCCTGACAGAAGACATTTGTAAGACTATGACTATTATGTTGTTTGCAATCGCCGTGTCCATAGGTCAGGGAGGTTGGCAGCGATGTTTTTGTGAGCCGATCAAGGATACCGTGTCGTTTTGGTGGCATCGAGTCGGCACATACCACATCCCTTTGATCAACCAGCAAAAAAAAGTTGCAAGGACAAATTTATGAAATCATTAGGTTAAATTAGTTGCTTTTTGAATTTTGATGAATTTTTCCTGCATAAGTCCATATTCGGGTGTGAACAAATTTAAGAACATCACTCCATGATGAACTTCATGGTCTTGGGGCGGGCATTGAGAATCTGATCTTTGGAAGCTGTATCAGGGTAACGCTTCCAGGTTAATAAATTGTACTAACTTTTTTGCTAGGTAGATACTGAGTTCGGAGGATACTGCAACCTCCGCAAATAATTTCAAAGTTTCAAAGCTATAGCTGTAACAATCTGGCCTCCTCACAACCATACATAAACATGTTCCAAGGAAAACTTGCAAACGGTTGGTAGCAAACCGAGGGAAAAAACCATGCATCTATTGAATAGCAAAATGGATCGCCCAACAATTTATCCAATTCATTGCATTTGCGCTTGAACTTGCAACAGGTCCCACATTTACATCCAACAACTCGCACACATGATAAAGTACAATGATCAATCTATATCAACATATTATTGTTGGAGACCGTGTTCCAACCCATACATTCGTATCATGAATGAAATACAATGAAATATTGCAAATATTTGCAAATCATATTCTTAGTTCATCCCTTTGTTATTTTTGCTGTTGTGTAGCTTGGAGCACCTATCAAAATGAGGGAAATTGTGGGTCAGCAAAACAATGCTGCCACTGTCACTTAATTTTTTTTTGCCCTAGACTGCCGCTTGCCTTGTTGGTATGAAGTATGGAATAGCATGTTTGCTGTTGGTTGGGTCTACTTTGGTGCCACATTGGCACCTAACCTTCCTACATGGCGATTTTTGTTTTGCTTTGACTTGGGCCGTTATACGTTGTCGGAAACAACGGAAACTGTCGGAAAACCAATTTGCCGAATGTAAGGAATACAAGCCTACATTGGCCTATAAATGCGAATGTAGGCAAAAATCGCTGACATTGCTGAATGTTGGTAATATTTGCATACATTGGATCCTTTGGGTATGGACAAATAACACACAAATTCACAAACTGGCAACTCAGCTATGTTTGAGCCAACCATGCCAAAACATAGAAGTTGAGATTTCATGATCTCAAATAGGACAGAAAACGACACCCCTTTACACCCCCGGCCAGAAATGCTTCAGCAACTGCGGATTTTTGGGACCTTCTAACCATAGAAAAGTAGGTTTGAAGATTGTGCGAATTGTAGTGATTCCTAGCTTTATATTTTAGCATAGTTCCTATTTACCACAAATCTCATACAGTCAAGATAGGGCCACTAATTGACCAGGTCCCAGCGTCATGTGCTTCCGCCAGTGGCACGCTGAAGAAGGATTGAGCGCCAGTATCACGCGCTAAGAACATGTAATAGGGCACAATACCCAAATTCACCTCAGGGGCAATGGGATGGGGACGGTGGGATGAAACACGCGACTGACATATTTGCACAATTTTGCAGATGCCAGCCACGGATCCTGCATAAATAATGTTGACATGATCCAATCCTTGCATGGGGCCAGTTTTTTAAGCAACAAACTTACAATTCTCAAAACTTAAACCCTAGAAAATTCAAAAACCGAAAACCATAAACCCTAAAACCCTAAAACCCGGAAGCCTAAGCTCAGCATCACGGCGCATAGCCAGTGATTGCAACGAATGCAGAACTTTGTTTAGGTGCAACATTTGTGGGTGGCGAACGTCTGCTCTGGCATCAACATATACACATTATTATACATATATATCTTGATGTGTGCGTTTTAGAAATGAATAGACATATAAATATATACATATATATATATGTATAAATAGTGTGAAGATCGAAGTTCCTGTGGGAGTCCAAAGTCCAAGTGTGAGAGCTCTACATCCATAGCTGACAGTGCAGTGAGAAACTCTTTCCATCCTTGGTCTGTTCTGGGTGTCTTTGCAGGAGAAGACTCCCTGGTAGTAGCTCGATGTTGCCTGATAAGTTCAAGTTCTTCTAGGGTGATAGTCTCAGTGGTAGTAGGTGATGTAGTCGATGTGGCTTGGGGAGGTTGAGGTGGAGAAGCTTCAGGTAGTTCTTGAGATTCTTGAGGTTCTGGCTGCTTAATATCCATGGCTTCAATTAGGAATTGCTTCAATAAATGTGTTTTGTAAATGAAACATAGTAACAAGTGAGGGCACAGCCCAACCAACATGTGGTCCATGAAAGCAAGCATTGAAGGGGATGGAAACTGAAAAAGGAATGAAACTTGGGGCATGCAGTACAAATGGGCATGACAGCATTGCTGACTGTGTGGCAAAAGCTAAAGCTCGTGCCAAATGCCTGTATATGTAAATATATAAATATATGCTTGTGTGTGTTATCTGTGTTATCTGTGTTTTGTGTGTGTTATGTGTGTGTTATGTGTATTATGTGTAGTATGTGTAGTATGTGTAGTATGTCTGTCTGTCTGTCTGTCTGTCTGTCTGCCTGCCTGCCTGCCTGCCTGCCTGCCTGCCTGCCTGCCTGCCTGTCTGTCTGTCTGTCTGTCTGTCTGTCTGTCTGCCTGTGTGTATGGATGGATGGATGGACAGATGGATGTATGTATATATATATACATGTATAAATGACACACACACATATATATATATATATGTAAATATAAATGTATATATATATATATATGTATGTATGTATGTAAATCTGTATATGTATATGTCGGTATATGTCTGTGTGTCTTTATATGTTTGTACATGTATGTATGTTTATGTATATGTATGTATGTATGTATGTATGTGTATGTATGCGTATGTCTATGTATGTCTATGTATATGTATATGTATACGTATATGTATGTGTATGTATGTGTATGTATGTGTATGTATGTGTATGTATGTGTATGTATGTGTATGTATGTGTATGTATGTGTATGTATGTGTATGTACGTGTATGTACGTGTATGTATGTGTATGTATGTGTATGTATGTGTATGTATGTGTATGTATGTGTATGGATGTGTATGGATGTGCATGGATGTGTATGCATGTATGTATGTATGTATATACGTATGTCTATATATGTATGACTATATTAGTTATGTATGTCTGTATGTCTGTATGTCTTTACGAGTATGTCTGTATGTCTGTATGTCTTCCGTCCGTCCGTCCGTCTGTCTGTCTCTCTGTACGCATGTATGTAATTAATGTGTAATTAATGCGTGTATGTAATGTAATGTGATGTGATGTAATGTAATGTAATATAATGTAATGGAATGTGATGTAATGTAAGGTAATGTATGTATGTATGTATGTATGTATGAATATTATATATATATGTATATATATATACATCATATATACCATATATGTTGTGTATGTAAATCAATCATATCAAATGCAGCGTATATACAAACATATACATATTCCTGGACCCTTGATCCTGGTCTGTTTTCTGCGTGCACTTTCAAATCTGACGCACTTAGAAAAAAACTGCGTTTCAGAATCATGACTCTGAGTCACTTTGAAACGCAACCCGAGCGCGCAAAAAAAAACGCCAGCACTCAAAAGACAACGCAAACTTGGTGTCATGTCAAGACCGCTCAGATTTGTTTTCTGTTTTGTTTGGATTTCGCTTAGAGATCTGGATCCTTGACCCAAATCTGCGTGCTCGGAGGCTCTAGGTTTATACATGTGTATGTGTTATATAAATACATATTTATGCGTGCGTTATATTTGCATAGACGAGGGATCATGACACCGTTGCTGGGGTCTCTTCTGTGAGACCGAATGGTAGAGACTCAATGGCGCTTTGAAAAAACATTGATGCAGGGTCAATCGCTGAATTTTCCAGATCAGTGTTCCTTACGTTCGTCATTTGGGTGTCTCTCAAACTGGGGTATACCCCCAACATTGCAAATTTGATCGGGAAACCGATAAAGAAGCACCATATGTTATCCAAACATCATTCTTCTTGGATGAACCACTTCTTAAAAAGTTATGTTTACCTCCAGTAAAAGACAAGGTGCCAAGGTGACTGAGCAACTATCAATTTTCGGTACTGAAAATCCATGAGCATCACCATGTTTGCAGCTTCAAAAGCCCAATCTCCATTAACACTGCTGTGGTTTTAACACCCGGATCCATATATGTTTGGCAAATGCTGATTAAATGGAGATGGTTCAACACCCTGTTCTTAATTATTCTCAGTTACTACCCATGAGCTATGATTATTATTCATCATATCAAAGATAACACGTATTTGTATAATACATATAGACTTGATTCTTTATTGACCATTAATGAACATATAGATAAACACCTATGACATTCATCATTTTATCATTATCTATTATAAACGCAGATAAACAGTTTACAGTTTGATAAACATCATTAATATTGATCAGTATCTATAAACATAGAATAACATAGATAAACAATGATAGTCACCTATTTATATATAACATCATGTTTATAGTAACATTATATATCAACATGTAATGATTAATAACATCAACTATTACATGTATTGATACTATATTGATATATAAACAATGATATTGTATAACAATCATATATGATCATTGTTTATCAAATGATTTATCTGGGATCAAGCCCCATTGCCGTGCCAGCACTGCAGTGACCTCCATGCGCCACTTCTCGGCCCAGATCTTGGCATCGTCGTTGATTCCGCGCATCAAAGGCGCTTGGGAGCGAATGACCACCTCAACAAATTGTGGCGAATTTACTGGCAGTTTCATGGTGAATTTGATGGTGATCCAATGGTGAATTTAATGGGGATTTACTGGTGATTTAATGGGGATTTGATGGGGATTTACTGGTGATTTGATGGTGAATTTATGGTGATTGATGGCGAATTTTGATGGTGATTCACTTATAATTATGGTCACTAATGGTGACAATGAATGGTGCTTAGTTGTCAGCATACCAGGATTTATAACTATCCACTAAATGAATGAACGGTCACTAATGGTGCTTAATTCACAGTGATTCATGGTGATAGATTCATGATTATGATTATTGATTAATGGTGATAAACCAGCAAATTCATGTTGGATAATTAATGGTGATGATTCATGGTGATGAATGGAGATTGATTAAATCAGCATCCACCATCACCACAGGTTTACAAAGAAACACTATGTTGAATTCTTGCTGATGAATGGATCTTCATGGTGCAATGATCGTGGTGAAAGATTGCCGGGAAAAAGCTTTGAATAGGATATGTAGAACATTGTAGAACCAACATGAACCAGCATGAACCAACATGACCTAACCTTTCTTACTCATTAATCGGGAATAACGGTGATTTGTCATGAATACATGCTAATTTTCTGAATTCGTTCAAAGTCCCCATCATAAATTTCGGTTCTTCCCAGGGGCGCAACGTTGAACACAGCCGGAACTGCACCAGGTGCCACGGTGCCACCGCACCTTGGCCTCGTTTTGCAGGCGACGAATGGCCTGACGCACCTTGGCCGTTTGCAGCTCTCTGGCATGGCCTCGGTCGTGGATTCCACCGAAGAATGGGATGGTGAACCCCCCATGGCTGTGATGGTTTGGCACAACTGGATTTATCCCAGAAACATGAGCTTTGATGCGGAAAAAAACACATGTTTCCCGGAAAAAATGATGGTGTGGAAAAAAACTGGATTTTGCCAAGAACGATGATTGTTTTAGGGTGGAAAAAAAGGATTTAATCAACAAAAATAGGAGTGTTTCACTGACAAAAAGATAAAACAAAGGATTTGCCCCAAAATGATGGCAACAAAATTATGGAGGTAGCCAAAAGCTGAAAAAGAAAATACGGAGATATCAGGATTTCGAATGGGCCCCCAAGATAAAGACACACATCAGCAAAGACAATACTGTAGCTCACTGGATTCTAAAAATTATAAGATACTTTTCTGCACATGTGGAGCAGTTTCACACTGAGAGACTCGGTTCGCGTGACTCGTATAGATGCATCAATATACCCGGATGGAATCAGTTTGAGACCTTGTGGAATAGTTTGAAATCTGAACACATCACAGTTTTTCAATTGTGGCTGTGATCAGGGATTTTCCCAGTGTACAATTCTTGGATCTGGGCAAACCAGAAACAAACCAATCTCGCGATGGTTTCCCTTCCTAACTATCGAAGTTGCAAGGCTATTCACCAAAATGAGACGGGATGGCTAAACTTTAAAGCTAAAGCCACATCTGAGGAAAAAAACACAGGGATATGGGTCACAATTTTGAACCTATGGAACCGTAATTCCCGCAACTCCCATTTTCAGTTGGTAATTAACTCAATTGTGTGCTGAAGTTGTCCCCAGTATGCCAGTGGAAACACACCATGCTGATAAAACATATCAACCAGTTACAGTGGAATGCACGTCCAAGTACCCAAAAATCCCTTACATGGAACTCACTATTTTTCAATTTGAGGGATTCCTGCTCGAAAGGGGAGATAGCACCCTCTTTGTTTGCCAAAAACAAACATGAACATCATGAACAGTCTATAATCTAATTGAAACATAGATCTTAGATGGTAAAGTTCTCTGGCTGTACATTCCACAACATTCCTCCATTTCAACATCAGCCATCCACCACCAATTCGCCAAGGCTACCCAAATGTGCCATGATGGCGACATGTCGCTGTCCAACTTGGCGAATCTCATTCATGAGTTCAAGCACCTCCTCGGCATCATCATCCGTCAGAAAGCGTTGCGGCCAAAATGTCAAGCTCCGGGTTCCGATGCGAAGATTTTGGATGTGCGGAAGGAACTTGGGATCTTTGAAGGGCTCAAGATATCTGCGAAGAAATCGCGTCTTCATGATCATGGGATCACCGCCGGTGAAGAGAATATCAGTGACCTCCGGGTGATTTTCGAGGTAGGCGAAGACGCTTTCAGCATCACTCTGCGCAAATTTCAGGTCTGAGTCCCCAATGAACTGAGCCCACCGAAAGCAATAAGTGCAGTATGCGTGGCACGTTTGTCCCGCGGCGGGAAAAAACAAAATGGTGGAGGCATACTTGTGTTGAACACCTGACCAGTGTTCAACAGTCTCTAGAATCTAGAACATTCTAGAACATACTGCTTGAGAACCAGGATTCCCAGTTCATGGATGGCGATAATCCCCAGAAAACAGCATGGGTGTTCATAACAGTATACATTTCTACAATACCCAATATACCCAATCAACTTGGGATTGTATACCCTATGACCCTATGAACCAAGGACTTTGTTGTGCATTTTTTTGTTGCCCGCCTGTAAGTTTATCATCCTTGGGAACGTTCAGGTCTTTCTGTCCGGCAGGATGTGGATTCAGTTCTGAATGAATCTCACTGGCCACTTCCTGCAGGTCACAACTAACATTTATTGTGCCAAAAAACACATACCCAAATGGTATGGTTATTATTATTGTTATTGTTATTATTATTATAGAATATAATAATAATAAAATAAAAACAATAATAACCAGTTCTTAATATTATTTGTTATTATTATCATGTATTATGTTTATGATTAATATTATTGTGTTTACTTGTGTTTTACCACATTGGTGAGATTTTGTACCACATGATTTGGTGAAAAACATGGGATAGCATGGGATTTTGTGGGGCTAAGGGGTTCTCATCTCGCTTTCAACGAATCCCCATGGATCCACCAAGTACCTTCTAATTAACTTTGACTGGGGTGTGATCTGTTGGGTTAACATAATGTGGATGGTTGCGAAATCTTGCACCAGTTGATAGGTGGTAAACATCTCATTATTTATAGGGTTTCAACCATCCTTTTGGCGGTGCAGGATTTGTTCCATCCACAGTATGTTTAATCATTTTCAATTGGGCTTCTCCATGAGTGTTTCCATATGTTTGTGGAACAGTAAAAACTGCGGACAAGGTCCTAATGTTTAAACAGATTTGTCTGGCTTTGTTTGCCTTCTGCAGTCACTATATTCATAGCAAACAATTGAGATAGATTAAGTTCGATTGCATGAGATGAGATCAGATTCGATTCAAATCGATTAGATTACATTGCTGTATAGATTGATATATTAGATTGATATATTAGATTGATATATTAGATTGATATATATATATATATATTATTGATGGATAAATCATGACAAATCCATCGGTTCTGTATTGATTTTATGTTGGCTTAACTCTCATGTCTTGATGAAAACCTCTATTTCTTGCCACGATTTCTCCCTGGATTTCGCCACTTTCCCAGATTTCTGCAGGACTTTCCTTGAGTTCAAACGGCTTATCCCTCTTTGCGATGAGTCGTTGCTGGTGCTCCAACGACAGCATGTCCATGGTGGGGAAAACCAAACCTCAACGAGGCAGAAATATCTGCTCACGTTCATGGGGAAAAACGGTTGATGGTTCATGACTACCATAAATGAAATGTTCATGATATGATTCCATTATCCCATTATAATCATTAAATCGGTTTTTATCATCATCTATACCATCATCACATGTTATGATCAGCATCATTATCATCATGGCATCCAGTCACGAATCCTCCATGAGAAAAAAACTTGGTCATGTTGAGTCCTGGTGCGCATACGATGTATAGACACCTGATTACGTGGAACATAATTCATCACAAAGCTGAATACAGTATATCAACTATAATGAACTTGTATTCTTGTGGAACTGTCAACATATCGTGGAGGAGTGGGTTTCAAACGATTCCTATAAGATATAGAGGGAATCGTATGGGAAGGACACCAGCAGAAATGGGGATGTTCAGAAATACAACTGGGCAAACATCCACCGTTTAACGTGGTTTCAACTCATCCCCAACATATCATATACTATCTATTTGTTACAAAATCAATAGATATAAATAGTCAAATACGTCCATCAATCCTTTTTTAGGGAAGAACATAGACAAGGTGGAACCACCAACCAGTTGGAATGCTGTAGTTCACAAACTGAAACAAAAATCGTTAATTCTGGAAGTGCTTATACACTCTTATATCACAATAAACATCAATAAGACATAATACTTAAAACTAAGGAGGATATTGGTTTGACAATCATATTATTGCAAGCTGTTGCGATGATTTCCTCCGTTCACAAGTGAGAATTGAAATTGTCAACAACACACACTGATGGGTGAGAATTGAAATTGTCAAGCCATATCCTGAGATGATAAAGTCGCGCCTGGACGACGTTGGCCATTCGCATGAAGACGAAGTTGAAGAAATTGACATGCGATCAGTCAAACATCAAACAATTCAGCAGGATGCAAAAAGTCAAACATCAAACAGGTCAGCAAGATGCCAAAAAACGTCAAACGTCAAACAAGTGAGCGATCACGAAACTTGAGTTGTATCACGTTGACCTTTATAAGTTCAAAAACCGTCGATCCTGGTCTACCACAGTCCGACAGCAAACAACACATGAGACAAGTCCCAAGCAAGGTTGAAAGCAAGAATCGTACGACACGCGTTCCGCGCCAACGTTTTACATCCGTTCCTGACCATGACTCCTGTCATACCTGACCCCATCTATAGCAGGTACGTGCACTTGATCAGACTGCATATCCCCTCCAAACATCAGTAGCTTCGTTGGCCACGGACTGATGAATGGAGCCGTGGCCCCCTGCTGTGGATCGAAATTTGCGCATGTACAGAAGGAAAGCCAGGCGAAGGTTGAAAAGGAATAACCAACGCAAGGTGAAAAGTTTCAGGTCACATTCATGAAAACAGCATGACAGCATGGAGTTGTTCCATTCCCTATGTTTCAAGGGTTTACACACATACACACCCCGAAGGGGGCAAAAGTCTCCGTTTCGTATTGCAGCTTTCTTGCAGGTTGAAATTCTGTTTCCTTGCGCATTCATTACTTAAAGTCCGAAACTATGCGAGTGGAATGACACACCAAGACAGCAACCCAAGAAGACTTGAACTTGAGAAAGGATGACTATTGCAGGCCGTGCTCTGTCGACAAGCGCTCTTTTCTTTCAACGTAGAACAAGATCCGGCGGAGTACCTGTGAGAGTGTCCTGGTGGAGACATGTGGCCTCTCGAATCTTTCCAAGCAAAGGTCGAAACACAGTGCGAATGTCAGTCAGGTTCATGTGAGTACGAGTGGCGATAGCCACCAGGTCTTGCAATTGTGGCAAAATCAAATGTGGAGGAAATGTATATCTCAAAATCATCCAAATCCGTGCGGTCAATGCCGATCTAAGTGGTTGACGCGATCCTTCCGTAAGACCTGACCGGTATCGTGTCAGATCATTATCCAAACGAACTGTGCATGTCCTCTGATTCAAGTCGATATGGCGCCCCAAGAGCACGCGATCCACCACTTCTTCCAACAAGATTGGCCGACCGTAAAAGTCTTCACGGGTGAAAGAGTTCCAATGATATGAATCTCTCCAGAAGGGCATCCCTACCATTGCCCTGTTGTCCACATAGCGTGCATTGAGCAACAGATTATGTGAGTTGATGAGATCTCGGAATGCTTTCTGAAAACAATATTCTTGACATGCTGCAACAAGACCACACAGTGCAGGAGCGAAATGGGAGCCCATGGATGCCCCCTGAATTTGTTGAAAAAGCATACGTCCAATAGAGACGAAAGAATGCGCCAAGAGGAAGTTTACAGCTGGAAAAACATGTTGGATATCAACATTGATGTACCGACCACCTGCAGCTCGATATCTTCCGCGAAACAAGCGAAGATGTCGATCATCATCTTTAGTATAGACACTGAGAGTGGAATCAGCAGGCAGTTGGTTTTTACACCGGTAAAGGTTGAGGGCAAATTGAATCGACTCAAGCATCCGGGAATGTGGGACAGAGTTGAAAAAACCCGACAAATCTTGTTGTTGAAAATCAAGTTCCCACTGGCATGGGACATCGCGAAATAACCGATGAAATCCAAGAATGATGTCAACCACTTTCCGGTCCAACGAAACATCACCAAAAATAGAACTGATCAAGCTAAACACTAGATGCCCAATGAACTGTCCAAGCTTCTCATTCCAATTCCAGGACAAAGTATATGAAATAATTGGTCTCGCTTTGTTGAACATCTTGCTTGGTTTTGGAAGAATGTAGGCAGAGGATGGCAGAGGGACAATGCCCATGAGCGTTCAATAACCTAAAAATATGAGAAGGCAATGTATCTTTGGCCACCCCAAGAATTCTCTCAAAAACAGTATGCCATCCAATCGAGCTGACCCGGAACACCTCTTCATCCAAAAACGTCTTTCGCAGCAAACAATGGTAGTGCACTGGACAAGATAGGTGTGCTTGATGAGGGTGATGGTCAGCTGGGCAAAGAATATAACCCTTCAATGCTTTCAAATCACGACAATGACTTCGCATAGATACAACCGTACTCTTCCTAGCATGCATCTTCCACATGTGTTCGGCTTGGTATGTCCAGGTCATCTCAAATCTTTCCGGAAGGCGCCAGCGTCGTCGCCATCGATGAAACTGGTCTTGAGCGTTCTCCATCCATTGGTTATATGTTGGAAAAACGGAATCCGACAGATTGATATGTCCCAGGAAAATTGATGGAAGAACGCTTAAAAGGGTGGCAAACATGTGTCCTGAACTCCTGAAAACCGTTCCAGTGAACAAGCCTTGACATCCAGGACACTGAGGTTCATCTTCAGCATGCCAGCCCCGCAGAAATTTCCGGAAGTTGAACACATGATTTTTCAATGGAGGATTATTTTTGTACACAATGGAAGTGGATGGCAAATGAAACCATGGAAACAAACAAGACTGAGTAGTCACAAGTTCCCGCAACCAAATCCGACAAAGTTCCTTCACGTCCACAGCCAAAGAGTGCAACGCCATTGGGATGTTGGAGGGGGGTGCAGCCCCTCCTCTGAATTCTAAGCGCTGAGTCAATGCCTTTTTGGCTCGTCCTTTCCATGGTTCGTCAATCTGGTGCACTAGACGGTATAGCAGATATAAGAACGGGAGACTTGTATGGGACGATCGCAACAAAGTAGCCGTGGTCAGTTTTGTACGACTAGTGCACCCAAGACGATACAACAGTTCAAACAACGCCTGAGGTGAATTCCAGCTTTGGCGTAGAGCACAGTCATCCAAGCTCGTCTTTGCAAAAAATCCAAGCGTGGAGATCAAACGAGCACCTTGAAATCCCAGCCTGTCTAGCCTTTCTACAAATGATGGCGCAGTGATTCCGCAACGTTTGAGAAGTGAGTTCACCATTGGATGATTCAGTTTCGGACGCCACTGTTGAATCAACGTAGTTTCCAAACCACGAAGTTCATATTTATCAGAACACTGTCTCAAAGGTAAAGCAATAAATTTGAAAAACAAATCGTAATTTCGCCAGATTCGTAGTGCTGGCTCAAAAAAGCCATCTGTGCCATGCAAAAGTTGTTTGAATTTCCTCATCCTGCTGTACTCTCTAGAAACTACATCCACCGTGGTAGACCCTATGTACCACCATGTCCGGTAGGAAAAGCCCAAAGATACACGCAAACATACCTGACCAGGAGTGAGGAAGTCATGTAGCTTGAAACGGTCATCCACCTGACAAGCCACCAAAAGTTCGAGGATTTTCTTATTGGTCCTGGGATCATTTTCCGAAGGAAGGCCAAACGATTGCCGAATCCAGAGACATCGAATGAACTGCTTCTAACCATAAGTAGACACGAAGAAGTTGGTGAGTACATTGATTAAACAATACCTCACGACCCAACGCAATCCACTCAAAAAAACAGGAGGCAGCACAGAAAGCCAAGCGATGTTCTGAAGTAACCACATCCATCTGATGTCGTCTGGCATGCCGTCGAAAAACTTCACCAGGACTGATGGGGATGTTGCAAAAACACCAGCAACTTCAAAGCCTCATTGGGTTTGTACTTGGATGCTTCTGTTGGTTCAAGGCCCCAAGCCGTCAACATACGTCCTAAACTGGGAGCATTGCCTGGATCAAGACGTTCATAAGCCTCTTTCAAACGCTTAGCACGATCATCCAAGTCCTTTTGATCCTTGGTCTGTTTCACATGTGTTTTCATCCAAGCGTTGATGGACTGAATTGTGTGAGACCTTGGGGCCTCAGTCTCCAACCTGGCTTTTGAATCTCCCACCCCAAGTTCCTTGATTTCCTTGAGGGCGTGGGCATCTGCGTTTTCTGGGGCCTTTGAGAAACTCAGGGTGGTTTGACTTGGTTTCGAGTGATCTGGTGGCTTGTTGGCCCCTGAGCTTGGCGTGGGCGTGGGCGGTGGCACCTGATGGTCGCCTGGCGGGGCGGTCGCTACCTGAGTCTTGAGCTGCGCGTTTTCCATCTCCAACGCACGAAGGCGGTCC